GTATGTGCCTCCATATTTCCATAGGGATTTGCAAAAACGGTTTCGCAAATTGGTGCAGGGTAACAAGTCGGTAGAAGAATATTTTGAAGAGTTTGAGACACTCCGAAACAAGTTGGAACAAGAAGACACCGAGGAGAATCTCATGGCTCAGTTTCTTGATGGCCTTCAAGACCGCATAGCTAGAAAAGTAGAGAGACAGCCGTATCATGACATCTCCGAGCTCTTACATCTCGCTATTCAAGCAGAACAGCACATAAAACGTAAGAAAACAGCCACAAACAGAGCAAAAGCCAGCCAAAACTGGAGTCAGCCCGCCCCTAGGGTCTTAGACAAAGGCAAAGCCGTCGAGAACAGTCCCAAATACCAAAAACCAGCGGCCGAGACTTTCAAAAGTAATCGCCAAGACACAGGTAAGAATCCAAGTACCTCTAGAACTCGAGATATCATTTGTTTTAAGTGTCAGGGTCGAGGACATATGGCGAGAGACTGTCCCAATCAGCACACCATGATTCTAACATCAGCCGGAGACTATGAGTCTCAAGACGAACAAGAAGATGAGGAGGACGCCGAGGGTGATACCGAGGTGGCCTATCCGGACACCGGTGAGCTGTTGGTAATTAGGAGAGCTCTGAGTGCTCTCGTGGACCCCGAGACAGTTCAGAGGGAAAATATCTTCCACACAAGGTGCACCGTGCACAACAAGGTATGTAGCTTAATAATTGATGGTGGATCATGCACTAACGTAGCCAGCAAGCTTATGGTTGACAAGCTTGGGCTCGAGACGACTCCACACCCAAAACCATACCGCTTGAGGTGGCTTAATGATGACACTGAGTTAAGGATAACTCAGCAAGTAACCGTACCGTTCAGTGTGGGCAAATATAGCGATCATGTGCTATGTGATGTGGTGCCCATGCAAGTTGGTCACTTGTTACTAGGGAGGCCGTGGCAATTCGACAAGGAGAAAATACACAATGGCCGAACAAACCACTCCTCGTTCATGCATGAAAAGAAAAAGTTCCAACTAGCGCCACTTACGCCCGTGGAAGTCCATGAAATGCAGCTAAAATTTGCAAAAGATTCTAAGGTAAGTAAGACTAATCTCTTTGTCACTTCCCCTACTGTCTATAAAGCTATACAGCATCATGCACCTGTGCTACTAATGGTCTTTCGAGAGAGTTTACTTTCAGGAGCCAGTGAACTAGAGCTGTGATCAGTGCCTTGTTAGACAGGTTTAAAGATGTATTCCCGGAGGAAATTCCAGCTGGCTTGCCACCTTTAAGAGGAATAGAGCATCAGATCGATCTTATTCCCGGTGCAGCCTTACCAAACCGACCAGCTTATCGGATGAACCCCACTGAGACTAAAGAACTAGAGAAACAGATCCAAGACTTGATGTCCAAAAGGATATATCCGAGAGAGTCTTAGCCCTTGTGCCGTACCAGTCCATTTGGGTGCCCAAGAAGGATGGAACATGGGCGTATGTTGCGTGGACTGTCGAGCTGTGAACAATATCACCATCAAATATCGCCACCCAATACCAAGGTTAGACGATATGTTAGATGAATTGTATGGTGCCACTGTGTTTTCTAAAGTAGATCTTCGAAGTGGATACCATCAAGTGAGAATGAAGGAAGGAGACGAATGGAAGACAGCTTTCAAGACCAAACAAGGTCTATATGAATGGCTAGTCATGCCATTTGGCCTCCCCAATGCCCCAAGTACCTTCATGCGACTCATGAACCATGTCTTGAGGGTATATATCAGTAAGTTCGTTGTTGTTTACTTTGATGATATACTGATTTATAGCAAGTGTTTTGCGGATCACTTAATGCACCTTGAGCAAGTATTAGAGACTCTTCGACAAGAGGGTCTTTACGCGAACCTCAAGAAGTGCACCTTTTGCACTGATCATGTTGTATTTCTAGGCTTTGTTGTGAGCTCACAGGGTCTACAGGTGGATCAAGACAAGATTAAGGCGATTCAAGAATGGCCAACACCCACCACCATTGGACATGTTAGAAGCTTCCACGGTCTAGCAAGCTTCTATCGGCGATTTGTAAAAGACTTTAGCACCATAGCCGCACCTCTTACTGCTGTGATCAAGAAAGATGTGGCGTTTAAAAGCTTAAGAACCGTTTAACTCATGCACCTGTTTTAGTCTTACCCGATTTTGATAAAACGTTCGAAGTTGAATGTGATGCCTCAGGTCTAGGTATTGGAGCTGTTCTAACTCAAGGAGGAAGGCCCGTCGCATTCTTTAGTGAGAAGTTACATGGAGCTGCACTCAACTATTCCACCTACGATAAGGAGCTCTACGCCCTAGTGAGATCTTTGGAGACATGGCAGCATTACTTGCTGGCCAAAGAATTCATTATACACACGGATCACGAGACCCTGAAGCACCTCCGAGGCCAGACCGCTCTCAAAAGGAGAAATGCGAGGTGGCTAGAGTTTGTGGAGACCTTTCCGTATATCATCAAGTACAAGAAGGGTCAAGAAAATATCGTTGCTGACGCTTTATCTAGGCGCTATACGCTTATAACCACTATGGAGGCCAAGATCATGGGATTTGAACACTTAAAGGAGAGATATGAGGACGATCCCGACTTTAGTTCCATTTACCAAGAATGTCAAAAGGGAGTTCATGGTCTGTTTTATTTGCATGATGGTTTCTTATTCCGAGAAAAACGACTGTGTATTCCGCAGGGTTCTATGAGAGAGCTTTTGATCAGGGAGTCTCATGGAGGAGGCTTGATGGGGCACTTTGGGATAGACAAAACTCTAAGTGTTCTAGTGGAGCATTTCTTCTGGCCTCATCTTAAACGAGACGTGGAGTGGTTCTGCTCAAAATGCATCGTCTGCCTTAAGGCAAAATCCAGGTCACATCCGTATGGACTTTATATGCCTTTACCTATACCTAATAGACCTTGGGTGGATATTTCTATGGACTTCGTGCTAGGGTTACCAAAGATCAGAAATAAAGATTCAATCTTTGTGGTGGTGGACCGATTCTCCAAGATGGCGCACTTCATCCCCTGTGCTAAAACCAATGATGCCACATAAACGGCTGACTTGTTCTTCAAGGAAGTGGTAAGGTTACATGGGTTACCATGCACCATTGTCAGCGATAGAGACACCAAATTCCTCAGTCATTTTTGGAAGACTCTATGGAGAAAGCTTGGCACCAAGCTCCTCTTCTCCACCACATGCCACCCACAAACCGATGGGCAGACAGAAGTTGTAAACCGCACTCTCTCCACCCTCTTAAGGGCCACAGTTGGTAAAAATTTGAGAAATTGGTTAGATTGTATTCCTTACATTGAGTTCGCTTATAATAATGCTAACCACTCGGCTACTAAGCTTTCACCGTTTGAGATTGTGTATGGATTTAAGCCAGAGACGCCGTTGGACCTCAAACCTTTACCACCACCCGAATATGCTAGTCAAGATGGAGTAGACAAAGCTGAAAAAATCCGCAAACTCCACCAGAAGACCATTGAGAACTTGGAGAAGAAGACCGCGCAATACAAGCTTCAGGCCGACAAGAACCGAAAGGAGATCATTCTTGAACCAGGATAGTGGGTTTGGGTGCACATGAGACCCGAGCGGTTCCCCAACCAAAGGAAATCCAAGCTTGCACCAAGAGGAGATGGTCCATTCAAAGTCGTGGAGCGCATTGGCGACAATGCTTACCGACTTGACCTACCAGGTGAGTTGCAAATTTCATCAAGTTTCAACATTTCTGACTTGTCCCCTTTTCATGCAGATGAACCAGTTCTGAGGACAGAACCTTTTCAAGGGGGAGGGAATGATGAGGACATGGGCCCGGAGCCACTTGAGATCGCCAAGATTCCCACCATGTATGAGCCGCCAAGGACAAGATCCGGTGCAAGAACTCTTAGAGAAAAGTTTGGTGAAGCTGTGGAAGGACTATTGGCACAACAAGAGCTTGAAGACCTCAACAAGAAGATAGACACACTCAGCCACACAAGTCAAGAAAGACAAGAAAGCCTCACAGATCAAGCACTCGAGGATCCAGTAGAGACTAAGGCCTGGCCCCTTTTGAAGATCACTCTCGGCCCAACCTTATTATCCATCAGTCAGCTTCCAAACGACATCACTTAGGCTCAAGACGCGGAGGAGCCTCAAACTTTCCATTTCCTGGTAAGTTTTCCATTTGAATTCAAATAACGAGTTTTACTTTTTGTTGTTTTGCAGGAATTAAACATTAGTCCTTTAAGTTATTTTTCCCTTTTGCATTTGTCTTTAAGTTTTTAGAGAAACTCTCGATTGTAATAGGTTTCCTTTTCTGTCTTTTATTTTTGGTTTGCCCTAGAAGGCTCCAGCCGACGAACCATTCTTATAAGGTTCCACATGCGGCTTTGTAGAACACACTTTTGCTTTTGATATCAATAAAACGAGAGGTTTTTTATACTTGTGAGTTCTTTGAATCTTGTGCGGCTTCCCCTTGATTCTGAGAGTTCTCGACTGTCACAACTTCTTCATCAGTTGTGTGTGTGTCACTTCAATCCACCGTTTGTCCTTCACGACGTCTCCCCTACTAGGTTAAGCAAAGAGAGCCGTTAGGCCAGTTGTTTAATCCCCACCGACCTATTCCCCCATCGATTCAGCTCTTGTCTAAGTAGAGAGAGCCGTTACGCCAGCTACAAGGACCCCCTCCATATCGGTTTATAAGTTCATACCCTTGATCTTATATCAACTGGTATCAGAGCTTAAACGCTCCTACGCCAGGTTTTATCTATTCTGAATCACTCTCCATTGTTTAGTTCTTATTACTTTGTTATTTGCATTCTCTTATTCAAAAAAAAAAAAAAGAATCCATATAGTTCTAGATTGCTAGCTAGTCTTCGTAATCACTTCAAAAAAAAAAAGGAACATATACTTTATTTTAGATCGGATTTTGTTATTTAATTTGAATTGTTTTTGCGAACACAAGTTGCTTTGATTTAGTGTTGTTTTTGTTGAGTCCTAGTATCATGGAAGATCAGACCATCCCGGCTCAAGACACTATCTTACAAGCCATAGCCGCCATGAGGCAAGACATGGCCGCACAACTAGGGCGCATGGAGGAAAGGGTTGGCCGGCTAGAAGTACCAAGAAGAGAAGCTGTCCGACCTATTCAAGTTCCACCCCAACAGCAACAACAAGCAGGAGACGAGAATATGGCCGAAGTGGAGGATAACTTGACTAACAATCAACCGAGGCAAGATCCACCCGACATACGGATACACCAAAGACTCCGAGACCCTGTCAACCGAGGCCGTATCAGAGACGATGAGGGTAATAGGCTAGGTAATATGGATGTTAAACTAACAGCTCCCACTTTTGCAGGGAAAGTAGATCCTGACGCTTACCTTGAATGGGAAAGAAGAATGGAGTACATCTTTGAGTATTACGGGTATAACGATCAAAGGAAGGTGGCATTGGTCGCGGCTCAACTCACCGATCACGCATTATCTTGGTGGGACAGAGATGTAGCTGAGCGAAGAAGGCACCGATATGAGCAAATCTGCACCTGGGCCGCAATGAGATACAACTTGAGGAAGAGGTATGTGCCTCCATATTTCCATAGGGATTTGCAAAAACGGTTTCGCAAATTGGTGCAGGGTAACAAGTCGGTAGAAGAATATTTTGAAGAGTTTGAGACACTCCGAAACAAGTTGGAACAAGAAGACACCGAGGAGAATCTCATGGCTCAGTTTCTTGATGGCCTTCAAGACCGCATAGCTAGAAAAGTAGAGAGACAGCCGTATCATGACATCTCCGAGCTCTTACATCTCGCTATTCAAGCAGAACAGCACATAAAACGTAAGAAAACAGCCACAAACAGAGCAAAAGCCAGCCAAAACTGGAGTCAGCCCGCCCCTAGGGTCTTAGACAAAGGCAAAGCCGTCGAGAACAGTCCCAAATACCAAAAACCAGCGGCCGAGACTTTCAAAAGTAATCGCCAAGACACAGGTAAGAATCCAAGTACCTCTAGAACTCGAGATATCATTTGTTTTAAGTGTCAGGGTCGAGGACATATGGCGAGAGACTGTCCCAATCAGCACACCATGATTCTAACATCAGCCGGAGACTATGAGTCTCAAGACGAACAAGAAGATGAGGAGGACGCCGAGGGTGATACCGAGGTGGCCTATCCGGACACCGGTGAGCTGTTGGTAATTAGGAGAGCTCTGAGTGCTCTCGTGGACCCCGAGACAGTTCAGAGGGAAAATATCTTCCACACAAGGTGCACCGTGCACAACAAGGTATGTAGCTTAATAATTGATGGTGGATCATGCACTAACGTAGCCAGCAAGCTTATGGTTGACAAGCTTGGGCTCGAGACGACTCCACACCCAAAACCATACCGCTTGAGGTGGCTTAATGATGACACTGAGTTAAGGATAACTCAGCAAGTAACCGTACCGTTCAGTGTGGGCAAATATAGCGATCATGTGCTATGTGATGTGGTGCCCATGCAAGTTGGTCACTTGTTACTAGGGAGGCCGTGGCAATTCGACAAGGAGAAAATACACAATGGCCGAACAAACCACTCCTCGTTCATGCATGAAAAGAAAAAGTTCCAACTAGCGCCACTTACGCCCGTGGAAGTCCATGAAATGCAGCTAAAATTTGCAAAAGATTCTAAGGTAAGTAAGACTAATCTCTTTGTCACTTCCCCTACTGTCTATAAAGCTATACAGCATCATGCACCTGTGCTACTAATGGTCTTTCGAGAGAGTTTACTTTCAGGAGCCAGTGAACTAGAGCTGTGATCAGTGCCTTGTTAGACAGGTTTAAAGATGTATTCCCGGAGGAAATTCCAGCTGGCTTGCCACCTTTAAGAGGAATAGAGCATCAGATCGATCTTATTCCCGGTGCAGCCTTACCAAACCGACCAGCTTATCGGATGAACCCCACTGAGACTAAAGAACTAGAGAAACAGATCCAAGACTTGATGTCCAAAGGATATATCCGAGAGAGTCTTAGCCCTTGTGCCGTACCAGTCCATTTGGTGCCCAAGAAGGATGGAACATGGCGTATGTGCGTGGACTGTCGAGCTGTGAACAATATCACCATCAAATATCGCCACCCAATACCAAGGTTAGACGATATGTTAGATGAATTGTATGGTGCCACTGTGTTTTCTAAAGTAGATCTTCGAAGTGGATACCATCAAGTGAGAATGAAGGAAGGAGATGAATGGAAGACAGCTTTCAAGACCAAACAAGGTCTATATGAATGGCTAGTCATGCCATTTGGCCTCCCCAATGCCCCAAGTACCTTCATGCGACTCATGAACCATGTCTTGAGGGTATATATCAGTAAGTTCGTTGTTGTTTACTTTGATGATATACTGATTTATAGCAAGTGTTTTGCGGATCACTTAATGCACCTTGAGCAAGTATTAGAGACTCTTCGACAAGAGGGTCTTTACGCGAACCTCAAGAAGTGCACCTTTTGCACTGATCATGTTGTATTTCTAGGCTTTGTTGTGAGCTCACAGGGTCTACAGGTGGATCAAGACAAGATTAAGGCGATTCAAGAATGGCCAACACCCACCACCATTGGACATGTTAGAAGCTTCCACGGTCTAGCAAGCTTCTATCGGCGATTTGTAAAAGACTTTAGCACCATAGCCGCACCTCTTACTGCTGTGATCAAGAAAGATGTGGCGTTTAAGTGGGGAAAGCTCCAAGAAGAAGCTTTCCAAAAGCTTAAGAACCGTTTAACTCATGCACCTGTTTTAGTCTTACCCGATTTTGATAAAACGTTCGAAGTTGAATGTGATGCCTCAGGTCTAGGTATTGGAGCTGTTCTAACTCAAGGAGGAAGGCCCGTCGCATTCTTTAGTGAGAAGTTACATGGAGCTGCACTCAACTATTCCACCTACGATAAGGAGCTCTACGCCCTAGTGAGATCTTTGGAGACATGGCAGCATTACTTGCTGGCCAAAGAATTCATTATACACACGGATCACGAGACCCTGAAGCACCTCCGAGGCCAGACCGCTCTCAAAAGGAGAAATGCGAGGTGGCTAGAGTTTGTGGAGACCTTTCCGTATATCATCAAGTACAAGAAGGGTCAAGAAAATATCGTTGCTGACGCTTTATCTAGGCGCTATACGCTTATAACCACTATGGAGGCCAAGATCATGGGATTTGAACACTTAAAGGAGAGATATGAGGACGATCCCGACTTTAGTTCCATTTACCAAGAATGTCAAAAGGGAGTTCATGGTCTGTTTTATTTGCATGATGGTTTCTTATTCCGAGAAAAACGACTGTGTATTCCGCAGGGTTCTATGAGAGAGCTTTTGATCAGGGAGTCTCATGGAGGAGGCTTGATGGGGCACTTTGGGATAGACAAAACTCTAAGTGTTCTAGTGGAGCATTTCTTCTGGCCTCATCTTAAACGAGACGTGGAGTGGTTCTGCTCAAAATGCATCGTCTGCCTTAAGGCAAAATCCAGGTCACATCCGTATGGACTTTATATGCCTTTACCTATACCTAATAGACCTTGGGTGGATATTTCTATGGACTTCGTGCTAGGGTTACCAAAGATCAGAAATAAAGATTCAATCTTTGTGGTGGTGGACCGATTCTCCAAGATGGCGCACTTCATCCCCTGTGCTAAAACCAATGATGCCACATAAACGGCTGACTTGTTCTTCAAGGAAGTGGTAAGGTTACATGGGTTACCATGCACCATTGTCAGCGATAGAGACACCAAATTCCTCAGTCATTTTTGGAAGACTCTATGGAGAAAGCTTGGCACCAAGCTCCTCTTCTCCACCACATGCCACCCACAAACCGATGGGCAGACAGAAGTTGTAAACCGCACTCTCTCCACCCTCTTAAGGGCCACAGTTGGTAAAAATTTGAGAAATTGGTTAGATTGTATTCCTTACATTGAGTTCGCTTATAATAATGCTAACCACTCGGCTACTAAGCTTTCACCGTTTGAGATTTTGTATGGATTTAAGCCAGAGACGCCGTTGGACCTCAAACCTTTACCACCACCCGAATATGCTAGTCAAGATGGAGTAGACAAAGCTGAAAAAATCCGCAAACTCCACCAGAAGACCATTGAGAACTTGGAGAAGAAGACCGCGCAATACAAGCTTCAGGCCGACAAGAACCGAAAGGAGATCATTCTTGAACCAGGATAGTGGGTTTGGGTGCACATGAGACCCGAGCGGTTCCCCAACCAAAGGAAATCCAAGCTTGCACCAAGAGGAGATGGTCCATTCAAAGTCGTGGAGCGCATTGGCGACAATGCTTACCGACTTGACCTACCAGGTGAGTTGCAAATTTCATCAAGTTTCAACATTTCTGACTTGTCCCCTTTTCATGCAGATGAACCAGTTCTGAGGACAGAACCTTTTCAAGGGGGAGGGAATGATGAGGACATGGGCCCGGAGCCACTTGAGATCGCCAAGATTCCCACCATGTATGAGCCGCCAAGGACAAGATCCGGTGCAAGAACTCTTAGAGAAAAGTTTGGTGAAGCTGTGGAAGGACTATTGGCACAACAAGAGCTTGAAGACCTCAACAAGAAGATGGACACACTCAGCCACACAAGTCAAGAAAGACAAGAAAGCCTCACAGATCAAGCACTCGAGGATCCAGTAGAGACTAAGGCCTGGCCCCTTTTGAAGATCACTCTCGGCCCAACCTTATTATCCATCAGTCAGCTTCCAAACGACATCACTTAGGCTCAAGACGCGGAGGAGCCTCAAACTTTCCATTTCCTGGTAAGTTTTCCATTTGAATTCAAATAACGAGTTTTACTTTTTGTTGTTTTGCAGGAATTAAACATTAGTCCTTTAAGTTATTTTTCCTTTTTGCATTTGTCTTTAAGTTTTTAGAGAAACTCTCAATTGTAATAGGTTTCCTTTTCTGTCTTTTATTTTTGGTTTGCCCTAGAAGGCTCCAGCCGACGAACCATTCTTATAAGGTTCCACATGCGGCTTTGTAGAACACACTTTTGCTTTTGATATCAATAAAACGAGAGGTTTTTCTTATACTTGTGAGTTCTTTGAATCTTGTGCGGCTTCCCCTTTATTCTGAGAGTTCTCGACTGTCACAACTTCTTCATCAGTTGTGTGTGTGTCACTTCGATCCACCGTTTGTCCTTCACGACGTCTCCCCTACTAGGTTAAGCAAAGAGAGCCGTTAGGACAGTTGTTTAATCCCCACCGACCTATTCCCCCATCGATTCAGCTCTTGTCTAAGTAGAGAGAGCCGTTAGGCCAGCTACAAGGACCCCCTCCATATCGGTTTATAAGTTCATACCCTTGATCTTATATCACCTAGTTCTCACCATTCTCCTTTTATTTCCACTCATATCTCCTTTTTCCACTCACCAACAAGTATTCCCCAACACTTTGTTCTCGCCAAATCTCTTAGCTCCATGATGATGGAACTTAACACTCAATGAGATTTGCCCTTGTCACCCTAAACCTAACACTTTCTGCTAAGTTTGGTCCAAGGTGGCCTTTCAATTACACACAAACAATTGGCTTGAAAGAAGGATGGGTTCAGGGTGAGGAAAACTGATCTATTATGCAAATTCAGCTATTTGAGCTAAGGAAGAGGATGGTAAAAACAGGATTCTAGCTCAAATATGTATATTGGTATCCACAAGCTTATTCAAACAATGCACCAAATGATAGTTTCAAGTCAAGTTTAAGGTTTTCACTTATTAGAGTTGAGTTCAATTCGAACTTGCTTCTCAGATTCAGATCATTTCAAGCCTTGCAAGCATAGAAGTCATTTCACAAGCATATTTAATCCAAATTCTCAAAGTGATTTACTCTCAAGGAAAACCTATCATTACTCCCAGCAAGATGCAACCTATATGATGCAAGCTAAACTCAATCCAAAAAATGTGAATGCAACTACATGAGCATTTTTTGTTGGAAAATTTTCAAATTTTTCAATTTTTTTTGGTTTTTATATGCACATACATGAATGCAAGATGAGACTCAAGAGTGAAAAAGAAAATAAGATCAAAGCAAACATGATTAGTAGCACTAAACCCCTCCCCCACACTTAAATAACAGAGTCCCATGTGTTATAAAAGTATAAGAAAGAGGATAAACAGAAAAGAAGATGCAGAAATCAAAAGAAAGATGCATAATGCTATGTACAAGGTTTGGAGTGATACCTATATAGATTAAGTGTTGGAGAGGGAGGTGGGTGGGTTTCTGATTTTGCCTGAACCATCCCATTGAGCATTGGAAACCAAGGAGCTGCTGCAATCATATCGACCTACTTAATGTCGATATTCTGGTCGATATTCCTTCGGTGTTATGGGTTCAAATTATCAACCAGAATATCGAGCATTAAGCACCTCGATATCTCAAGAAGTTCAGACACTTTATACCATATCGAGGTGACATAAGTCGATAGCTTGGTTGATATTATTTCGGCGCAAGAGACACATTTGTATCGACCAAGCTATCGAGAAGGAGCATGTCGATATGAATGCAAACTTGTCCGACCTTTACAGATTTTCTTTGCTCCATTTTCCTCTAGACTGCACTTAAGCCATACTTAACCCTGTCCACACTTAAACAAAACATCATTACGTCCTAAAAACAACAAAAGAAAGCATTAAAAAGAGTATTTAGAAAGGATAAGCTTGGGGTGTCTCCCAAGAGCACTTTGTTTAAAGTCACTGAATTTGACTTTTTAGAGCCTTTTCTTAATGAGGGAGAGGAGGAGCATTGATGCTCCTTGTCTTGTCCATGAACTCAAGTGTGATAGTCTTGTTCATCAGCTTTTGAACACCAGCTGACGCTTTGTCTATGAGCTCTTGTGTGAGGATTGCCCTGACCTTAGCAAAAGGTTTCGCTCTTCCATTGCCTTTAACCTTGTATTCAACAGCTCCACCATCAAACTTCCAAGGAGTGAGAGTTAAGACTTGAGAAGATGACTCAAGAGTGAATGGTCTGGTTCTTGGTGGGTTCTTGTCTTGAGACCCTGAGCCATTGCCTTTGTTGCTGCTGATCTCCTTCTCACTTGGTGTAGGAGATAGAGATTCCAAGCAAGCTTCATCATCACTAAAGAAATCCCCTTCAAACTCAAGATCAGGTCTTATTAGGGATTCTTTCTTTTTCTCAACAGATGCAAGGGGTTGAGCTTCTTCTATAGTTCCAATATTCCCCACATACATCATCCCATAGCGTTTCAACTCATCAGAATCATCAGATATAACTTCACAAACCCCAGCAAGAGGAGGCTTAAGAGGATAAGATACTTCATCATCTACCTTAGCAAGCACCACTCTTTGAGTATCAAAGTTCATCCTTGCTCCTCTAGTGTTCAGAAATGGAGTTCCAAGAAAAAGAGGTAGCTCTTTTGTCTTCTTCATCTTCATGACTACAAAATCTGTTGGAACTGTGCATTCACCAATTTTCAATGGGTAGTCTTCAAGGATTCCATATGGTTTCTTTGAGGATGAATCTCCAAAGGTGATTGACATGGGGTGAGGCTTAAGACTCTTGATCCCTAGTCTCTCCACCATGTCTATAGACATTACACTGATGCTTGATCCAGAATCACACAAAGCATTGTCCACTTTCAAACTTCCAAGAGAGCATGAGATGGAGAACTTTCCTGGATTACCTAGCTTGGGAATAGATTTGGGTTTCACCCTTGTTGAACTAGTGCTAGAGACTCCATTGGATGTCCTTCTTTGAACCATTCTATGATCCTTTCGTTCAGCAATCTCAGAATCATTCTTTTTCATATAAAAAAAAAAGCTGCCTCCCCACCTTCTTTCTTAATGTCCTCATTGATATCACAGAAAAGGAAGTCAAACTCCTCTATAATGGCGTCCTCATCATCTTGTGTCAGGCACTTTGCACTTGAGACATTGCCATGGAGAAGATCCTCAATTTCTTGAACAGCAGCATGATTCTCATCATTTGAGAGGATTGCATTGCAGTATTCTGTTTGATGTGCAACTGATGTCCCTGGTAAAGATCTTTGAGCTTGAGAACTGCAGTGGCCCTTGTTGTTCTCTAGAGTCTTGACTTTGGAAGCTAAGGTTGAAAGTTGAGTTAGATGATCAGAATAAGTGCAATCCACCTTGTTGTTAATCTCTTCCATTTTCTTGTTGAAGTCCATGGTACCACTTGCTTGACCTTGGAGGATTTTCTGGAGCAGGTTATGCACTTCTTGATCCTTATTCTCTGAGTTCTGTTGGAGACTTTGTTGTTGGGAAGGGAAAAAACCTTGTTGTTGAGTGTTTTGAGGATAGAAGTTCTGGTTTGGGGGATTCTTGTAATAGGTAAAGCCTTTTTGGTAACCTTGTTGGCCACCTACAAAGTTCACCTCAGCTGTGATGTCTTCCCTTTGAAATGTGTCTTGAAAAACATGATTCACATGTCTAACAAAGTTGGCTGACTGATGAGAAGCTAAGAGAAGTGTGTCTAGCTTCTCATTGAGAGACTTGATATCTTTCCTTGTCCTTTCCTATTCAGCACTCACAGCTCCTCTTGAATTCCTTTCAAAGTCTGATCCATAAAGCTCATCACTCTGAGCTACATTCTCCACTAGGGTCATGGCATCATTGACTTTCTTGGTCATGAAATTACCATTTAAAACTGTGTCCAAGAGGAGTCTGACCTTTGGTAAAGCACCTCTGTATAAGGTAGTGAGCAGTTGAGCATCTGAGAATCCATGGTGAGGGCATTGCATGGCATACCCTCTAAATCTTTCCCAAGCCTCACAAAATGATTCATGGTTCTTCTGAATGAAACTTGAGATTTCATTTCTTAACCTTGCTGTTCTTGATGAAGAGACGAACTTGGTTAGAAATGCTCTTTTGCATTGCTCCCATGTTGTGACTGATCCTTGAGGTAGAGACTTTTCCCATTAATGAGCTTTATCTCCTAGAGAAAAAGGAAATAGTCTCAACTTAAAACTGTTCTCACTCACTCCATTCATCTTAGTTAGATCACAAACTCTATCAAAGTTCTCAGTGTGATCTAATGGGTCTTCTAATGCCAAGCCATGGAACTTGTTTGATTGCACCATGTTGATCAAGCCAGATTTGATCTCAAAATCGTTTTCAGGTGTTGGAGCTTGAATCCCATTTCTCTGACCCTAACCATTGGCCTCATCACCAGCTCCCACAACTTGTATTGGACTTGGAGGT